GATGATCAAATGAAGCTGCATATGGCTCGTGCCGAGTTTGGTTGGTGCATGTGAGCTACTATCACTACCAATACAATTTCAACACTTAGTTCGCGCTTAATGGCAACAAGTTAGTAGCAAGACTAGGTTTCTTTTCGTGATAAAAAATTACTACTTGAAAATTAATGTAAAGATATTTCTCATTATAACTATAAAAGTTATCCACTTATAGAATTTATCAATTATGGTTGAAAAGTATAATTATAAATTAAATATCTCAAGCAAATAATCTATTTTGTAGGTCGTTCTAAGGAAAATTTTCACCAAAACATGTATCAAAAGCTATTTTACCTGTACTTCCTTCAGCCCAAAGCTTTTGATTCAGTAATGTGTAGAACTCCTATTAGAGGTGTTTCTACATTTGGTTTTATCCCACCTAAAATTACTTTTAACTACCCAGTAAGACATGCATACTATATATACACACAAGATAGTCACCAACGATTAACAAATTAAATTTGATTGTGATCGGATGAAAAGCAAGGCAGCAAAGTGCTACAATCAAGTGGAGTTGGGCTTTTCGAATTTGACTGCCATAACCTAATCACATACAAGAGTAAAATGTTTCATAATTTATATACCCTCATTTGGGTTTAGCAAGAATCAATCATCAGTACTTGGCAAATCTGGCCACCCTTGATCCGCCTGAAACTTTACAAGCTGTGCCAAAAGCTTGATTTCTTCATCTTGCAACCGCGGTCCAAAAGTACATTGCCCTCTTGGTGTGCAGTTTTCGCCAAATCCCTGAAAATTACAGATCATACTCTTTACCTGCACAAATAACTAACTAAAATTATTTAATACCATGGAGAGAAACTTACAGGCATTCTGCCTTTCCCGTAGTATGTGATGCGGAATAGCTTATCTTCTGTGTCAACTCCATTTCTGTAACAAAAACAATCAGTTATTTGAAGTTACAAAGAAAAATACTAACATTAAGTTGGTCAAATTTCACTTACAAAAATAGGAATAGGAACTCAATGTAATGTAAATAACGTTTGGAATGAAATAATATTCAACTTCTAAGTCAGTTTCATGTGTAATTCAAGTTAGACATTTCTGTGATTATTTTTTAAAAATAAGTAAGAATACAATTGCATGATTTTGGAATTGAAGATATTTATAAAGTTGGTTCAGTTACGAATTAAATATGTAATTTAATACTAAATTCTACATATTAAATAATTAAGATTTAGAAATTATATAGTGATAGAATAGCTGTTATTATTTCCCAAGATGATGTAAAAGGTACAAAAACCCAGATTTGAGGAATAGCTGTTATCATTTCTAATCCTTTCAATTTTTTCATTTCAATTTGGTTAAGAGTGTGAAGCCAGTTTAACAGAAACTTAAACCCAGTTAAAGATTCCTTTGAACCACAAGATCCATTAAGTGGCTACCCAGAGTCGGAAACAATCAATTTATAACACAGATTAAATATTTCACCATATCTTATCAAAAACTCAAAAGTTTTTAGTTATCAGGGTTTCCTCTTATTTTTTACTCTAGTTTTTATAGGATTTTCTGTTAACTATATCTAAATAGCATCCAGAAACTGTACAAGCTGTTACTGATGGCTTGAGATGTCAAATGGTTACCTCTGTAGATCATTTGTAAAAAGAGTTGCACCCTGAAGAGAAGAGAGAAGCAATGGATTATTTGAGGATGTGGATAGACTTAAAGAGAGGTAAGCCAATTTTATGATGAAGTACACCAAGACTCACCGGTTGAATTACATTTTCACCAGCATCATGACATCCAATGCAAGCTCGACGAAACAATGTAGCTCCCTTTTGTATATCTATGCTTTGTCCAAATGACACTACAACATGGAAGAAGCTAAGAGAAAACAAGTGAATGGGGATTCAAGAGATTTCTTTCAAAGATTTATCATAATTGTTTTACATTTTCAGATACTAATATATAAAAGGAATACACATCTGCTTCTCTTTGTAGCAGACACAAAAGCTGAAACATAATTACTTCGTAACAGAAGATAGGCTGTAGAAAACAGAAAAATCTTTGGAACGATATTTTTAATGACCTAAGTTCAATCTTCTTCTATGAGTCCTAAAAGAAAAGCAGAGACATGCAATTGATACATAAAAACTACAATGGTATACTAACCAAAAAAAGATACTTTCAGATTTTAGGGAATTTGATAAAAAGATGAAAAGAAAATTTTCTCTTAGGAGCAAAACAAATCAAACTACCTGCCATGCTCACTCTTACCTTATATATAAATATTGGGAATAGCTTTCAACCATGACCAGCTACTTACCTCAACAAATTGAATTATTATCAAGTACTTCCTTTGGGTCATAAAAAGTAATTACCTTAACAACTTTATTCTTATGTGAGTAGCATCTTATGTAGCATATTGATATTTAACTGATGAACCAAATAAGATAACATTTGGTTAATGGTCCTCGTCTTTTTGAGTTTAATTTTTACTTAGTAATACATGGGCCTCGCCCACTGATTGATCCATATATGTCAAAGATGGAGAAACTACCTAAAACAACTCTAAACTTCCATCATGCACTCTATTAACATTCAATTTTTGGTTTTTGTCCCTTTTAGTAACTAAAGCTAAAAGACTGAAGCATAATGAAGCATTGACAATTTGGAAACATAGCAGTACAGCATTTTCAGTGAAGCACAACGGAAATTTGTACTTTAGATTTTGTGTTTAGTTCAGTAATTCTACCATAAATTAGGTGGGGACAGTAATCTATAATGGACTCAAGGCACTTGGTTTCCTAGACAAGCACCAAAAATTGATCCATGGACTTCAAACCAAATCCCAGTGTGGATTCAATTTGATCCAAAATTGATTCAACTGCAAATTTCACTTGCCAGGCAATATAGATATTAGAAAATCAAAATTATTGTGCATAAACAGCAACCTTATGCAATATATATATATATATATATATATATATATATATAACAAGTCTGTGAATAACTGCAAGAATTTTATTTCCTTCCAAATAACCCAGTGATGCTAAGAGATTGGTGGTAATTTTGAGTGCAAAAAGCAATTGAATGTGAGCGTTTAAGAATTAGGTTGAGAGTCACCTGGGGTATTGAAAATAGGAGATAAGGCTACAATGGCAGCCATTAATGGGGGAGCAAACTTCTTGAAAATTGTCACATGTCTCTGCTTTAGAGTAACAAGGTTTTGCCCTTCTTCATTTGCCTTTCCCTTCCAACAAAAACTATTTCATTCCTCCGATGGCACAAATAAACGTTTCAATTTATAAAAAAAAAAAAAAAAAATTATTGCAACATTTCAGTTCTTCACACACATAAACAGCAGAAGAAAAACCAAAACCATAATCGAAGAAAGAAGAGAAGGAGAGATACCTTAACCTTAATGGAGAGCGCAAAGATTTGATCCCCGGCATTGGGCGCAACAGAGAGAAGCCTCATCTCACTCCTCTCTCTCCCTCTCTTGCTCTGGATAAACAAGGCTTTAAAAGAAAAAAAAAAAAAAAAGAAAAGAAAAGAAAAGAGAAACAAGAAGAAGAAGAAGAAGAAGAAAATGGGCCACAGGCTTTCTCAATATTTACCTTGTGGTTATGGACTTGGGCTTTACATATCTTTTTTAATTTAAAAGGATTTTATTCAATATTTTCAACTCTTTTTATATAGACATA